AAAAGAAGTTCCCACTAAAGATCAGAGTTTGTACTACCAATTACCCCTATAGGGCAATGAAAAATCTTTGAATAACCATCAGAGTAACCATTTATCGACAGATGCCAGTATGTGTACTATCAGTTACCACTAAAGGCCACTTCGAATAAAACCGTTAGATTTTACTAGTGTGCAGGCTGTCTTCAGTGGTTAGTGAACTTCTGAAGGTCTTTTTTAAAGATAACATTGGATGTTAGTGTCAACATTATCATAACCCCTGAAGTACAATTTGTGGATTAGCTGTTTCCTTCAGTTTATTCATATATTTTTAGTTATCAGAGGACGATCTATTTACAGCTAGTTGCCACTAAAGACCACCGCGTATATAATGGTTATCAATAATAAATGTCGATGTTTCTACCAGCATTGCCAGCAACTAATACTGATCACTAATACATATTCTATTAGTTACAGATAAAGCTAAATGTATATTCTACGAATCACCTTGCGAGGAAATACCAGTTACTTAAAGATTTCAGTATATAAATAACACATACCAGTTACTTAAAAATTTCAGTATATGAATAACACATACCAGTTACTTCCAAAACAAACAAACAAACTATGATTCTAAGGTTCGTGATTCTCATCACGGTAGGTGTTATTGATTAGACTGTGATTCTAAGGTTCGTGATTATCATCACGGTAGGTGTTATTGATTAGACTGTGATTCTAAGGTTCGTGATTATCATCACGGTAGGTGTTATTGATTAGCTGTCTACCCTATAGTTTATCATTTTCAAAAATTTAGGACAGCTATCCCAGATAGCCCTCGAATAGCCAGCCTTTCATGAAGTTCATCAAACAAACAAAACATTAGAACAAGGATAATACACGGTCGAAGAATTCTTTATACGTCAATATAGGGAGTCTTACTTGTCATAAATTAACATATATCTGTCATATTACGTATTAGTAGATAAATGTCAGTAATAATCATGTAACAACACTTTACAGTCACTTGTAAACAACTACTTGGACATGTGCCATTTGTTATTAAGATAAATATTCAAAATAATATGTACACCATAAATATGGTACCAGATAACTATCAAAACGTATAACACTGCTGTATAGTAGCCGCGGCATTTCACATTATCCTTTGGGTGCTGTTTCAATTATGTGTTGCAAGCTCGACTGATGTACTGTTTTAAGTGAAGTATATATAATTATGTAAGTTTAGCTTTAAAACGTTGCATATCAATGATATTGTAAAAACTTGTTGTAAAAAAAAATATTTAGTACGTCCACCCCGTAAAAACCAACCTGCTACAAGTAACTGCAACGACAACATTCCGTTGGCGAGGTGTTGTTACGGTCCTATGCTCCACTGGGAGTTTACAGGAATAAAAAAAAAAAAACGAATATTAGACTTGGCGCTTTTTTATATTTATTTTTATTTTTTACTTATATCTATTTCAAATGACGATGACGCGGTTATCGCCACTCTTATTTGAAACCATTTAACACGCCTTCCTTAAGGCCTGCTTGTCTAGATAGTTTCTTAGACGTTTGTTGATCACGTGAATACTCAAACTGAGATATGATTCATAATTATCACAAACATGACTACTCTTAATCCGGTTTCCAAGCTTAATCATTAATTTATGCATTTAGATATGATTAATTTTTTCCAGCCTGCTACTCAATATCACGTAAAAAATTTTCAGAAGTTTGACTGCAAGAATTTAAATTTTTACTTAAATCGAAAATTGTTCAAATTCTTTAAGGTGGGATCTAAAGTTGAACAAAATGTTTCTTCTGTCTGAAGATAACAGCTAATGTGAATTAATGTAGGTTTTCGATGGTGAAAGAAGATTTTACTTCAAACAACAAAGTGCCCTTCGTTTTTTTATTTTGATGTTTATTAAGGTAAGGGTTTTCAACCTTTGTTCGGTTAAGCCCCACTTGACCAAAAATGTGGGATTCCCCACCCCAAACACGCACATACCTAATCACACTCACACATATGTAGTCCCTCTTAGAGGTTCAGAGAGACCAGGGCCATTTCCAACTTTTGAGGTCCCTGACCCTAATAATAAAAAAAAGACGACAAATAAAAAAAATAAGACCATCATTAGCTCGAAAAAAAATGCCCCCCAGTGGCACAGCGGTATGTCTGCGGACTTACAACGCTAAAATTCGGGGCTCCAGTCTTCGCGGTGGACACACTGGATGACCTAAAATGGCTTTCATTTAAATCAAATAACAACAAAAATCCACGAGTTGTCATAGTAACGTAACATTTACACGAAAATTACCAGTCTCCTGCCACCCAGTGGTATGTCTGCGGACATTACAACGCTAGAATCCGGGTTTCGATACCCGTGGTGGGCAGAGCACAGATAGCCCATTGTGTAGCTTTTTGTTTAATTACAAACAGAGCTCGAAAAAAAAACGAAATAGAATTTGAAGGGAGGCACATAATAACAAGTCGCGAAACTTAACAAATGCCAAAAAAATTAACAAGTATCTAAATTTAAGACCCCTTTGAGCTTGAGGCCCTGGCATTCCCTCTGATTGGCCCTGCAGATATGATATAAGATGATATCTTTTTTCACTCGAATCCTTGCTAAATTCAAAGTCTGCTCCGATATGCAATTGTGAACAGGTGGAGTTAAAAAGATTAAAAAACATAAAAGTTAATCATTTATTTTTAAATTTGTTAAATTTACTTTTAAACGTGAAAGACAAAACAACAACAAAAACAAACGAACAGATATTATCTGAACGCTGTCACGTCCTCCCTTCTGTGGGGCATGCCCCACCAACGTGGGTCTAAAACTGTAATTAAGAAGTAAATCGTGGGTATTGGTAACCTGTTTCGCTTTATAACGTTAACTCATTATATGATCCAAAAATTCATCCTGACAAATCATACTCTGTAGTATTTCTTTATAACTGTAGGCTGGGGTGGCCTAATAGTTCGCATTCGTTAGTACAAAAATGCGTTTGCATTTTGGTTGCATTATAAGAGCGACGGTAAAAACCCATTATTGGATCAAGCAAGAACAACCCAAGATTTGGCAATGGGTGGTATTGACTAACTGTCTTCCCAGTAGTTTATCAGTTAAAAAATGGGGACAGATATGCTCAGACAGCTCTTATGCAACTTTCACTAAAACCTGAAAAAAAAGCTTATGCCTATACATTCATTAACTAATTTTATTAGCTTACTTTAGTTCCAGTAATATCTTTCATTCACAGTTCTTTGTGGTAACTGGTCTGAAACTCGTTATAATTTCACCTTGCCATGATATAAAAAACTGTTTAGTTTAGATATTATTGATTAATTTATTTTGTGAGTGACTATTTTATCATTGTTTAGTTTTGTTATGATAAGAGTTAAAAACAGACGGTTGTTTACAAATGTATAGAAAGATGATAACAGGATATTTAGGAACTTCAATTACACAAGGTTTACTACAACTTCATTTATTCACATAATTATGAAGTATTCTATCTATGACATAAGTGGAAAAAATCACTTGATGTTATTCAATTTTTCATGCAAAACCTCATACATATATTTTATATACATGATGAAATAAAACTTTGACTAAATTTTCCTTTAAAATGTTTGGAATAAAATTTCCAAAATTAAAATACAGGCTAGTCAATGTTTTTTTGTTGTTTTTTTTTTGGGGGGGGGGTACACTTACATTGGAAGTGACCATTATTATTACTAATCAAAGTGTCAATAAATGAAAGTTTTTGGTCTTGATGTATTCCATAGTGAACTTTCTACTTCTATATCTATTGTTCAAATATTGAAGAAATTGGGAGGCTTGATCAGAGTTCTTATGGATAGTAAACGTGTCATCCACGTACGTACCATAATAGAGTTATTTAAACTGTTGTAGGCAATTTTCTAACCATTGTTTTTCATAATAACACAAAAATAGATTGGTCAAAGAGGGCCTCAATCTAGAAGCATATAGCAACACACTGTCTACTAGAGGGAGCTGCGGGTAGTAATCATAACGTTGAGATTAGAAAACTTAATAAAATAGGCCTAGAATACCTAGAAAGTTCTAAAAGATTTAATTTCACTTTTTCTAGAAAATTCGAGGATAGATTATAAATATGAAAAAGTTGGGAAGATAGTATAGTTGTTTCTAGCTGGTACAGTGAATCATTCGTTGTGATTTTTCGTTTCAGCTATAAAGTCGTACAAAAAGTTTATTTTTAAGTTAGTATAGTACCGTTAGCGTCATTTGTAAACATGATATACAAGTTTCACAGTGTTCAAGCTTGTAAAAACGATAAAGAAGAAAGAAACTAATTTGTCATCGTTTAAGTGGACTGGACTTTGACTTATTTTCGCCAGATAATTTAAAAGAGCCTGCTAACGAAAGAACAATGTAAAAAAAAATATATATATATAGTTGTGTTATTCTTGTAAATTTCTTGTTAAATAAGTATTATTTTTTAACTTGGATTTTTCTTTTACTTATCCAGAATTAGAAAAATAATCGTTTTTACGAAATATAATTACAAATAAGAATTTGTTCAATTCGCACCTAAGGCCATTTCTTGAAATTATATCTTTATTGTTAGAATTGTTTATCTAGTACACATCTGTGGGTTAATAACCACACCTTTTATTACCACGTGCTCTTTTAGGAAATGTCAAACACTACACATGAGGTTGTCGCGTGAAGTAGGACAGCATTCACAAGCACCAATACAGAATACATCTTTTGCAGGTGTATATATATATATATAGCCTTTGCGATACCTGTAACATTTAGATAGAATAAATTTGTAACTCTACGCACTTCAAAAAAGTGCCATAAAAATTAGTAGATAGCAGATAAAGTTATTAATGACAGTTAAAATTGTTCATCCACTGAGAAGTTGAGATGCAATATAAAGTAGGGAGTGACTAAATTAACATTTAGTTATGTTGTGTAATGTTTTATTTTTGTACAGGATTCAAAAACGAACTAACATTGCGTACTGAAAAGCTGGGTAGTGAGACAAATACGTGACGTTGCAGGAAAGGATGACGTTTTACTAGAAATAAAGGACTAAGCTTGGGTTTATTTTGCCAGAAACGTTTAAAGCATCGTGAAAATAATAAGTAAATATTTTTAGAGTTGGTAAAAACCTCGACTCAGCAAAATTATGACTCAAGGAAAGGTAAGACAAAATATTTAATTAATGTTAACAATTTTTAAACAACTCTATTTATTGAATTATGTACAAGCTGCCCAGTGTCGGCTAACAATACGAAGAATTAAATTGTGGCGAAATGCTACAAGTTCTTCAAATACGTATAGAATGATGGGTTTATTTTTTGTGAGTGTAAAACACTTAAATACACCAGTTCAGTTTTTAATGTGTTCCCATTTTTTTAAACATATAATACATAAAATTCGCCACGTAACGTATTTTTACGTAATTATAAGAAAACGTTTGTGTTTGATCCTTGGTTCTCCTCGTCATGATTTTCTAATATTTTAGCTTGGCCGTTTTCTTTTTGTTACAATCAGCTCGTAAAAAAAAAAACCTTCTAATTATAACTTCGTCTGAATATATTTTAGAGGTTAATATTAAAATTATTTTACAATTAAAAGTTCTTTTATTTATTTTTACAAATACTGATGTTAGACAAATGAACTAAATATTTTCAGGGCTACGTTTCAGCCTTGTAATTGACCACATTGTTTTCAAAAATTCCAACGCAGTTATTTTTAAATATAGTATCAAGATAGAGCCCACTTCTACTGCTAGTAAGATAACAAAGGGCAGTTTACAGCGAGGTCTTCTTTGAAAGTATTTATTAAGTAAAAATGCATAATTTGGGTGTAACTTACTGTAAGTTTTTTACATCAAAATAAATGTTTTGATTTATGTACAGGTAAATCGTAAGAAACAAGACTAGACAATTAAATTTTTCAAATTATGAGTGGTACAGTCATTCATAGCTAAAATGCGGTAATATTTTCCTAAGATGTTTAATTATATTTAGTTTAATGATGGAGTGCCAAGAAAAGAGATTTATGGCTGAAACCCCTTTTTTAGTGTATTTAGAATAGTTAGCAGTGAATATTCGAATATTAAATAATGCAGCGTTTCCCAATCTTTTGTCATGTACACCCCCTTTAATAAATATGGTTTCTTGTGCGCGATCCCTCTTTTTTTTTTTAAGAGTGGGTTAAGTGACAAGATATAATACACGGATACAGATTAAAATGTTATATGTGACGCAGTTATTACTTATGTTTAATTTTGCACTGTGCCACTATTGGTTCTACCCAAATCGCTCGCCCCCCGAAAAAAAATTGCGTCCCCCTGGGTGTGCACCCCACACTTTTGGAAACGTTGAAATAATGTATTTGTAATTCAATCGACAAACAACTGCTGTTAACAACAACAAAAAAAAACTACTTAGATTACTAAGAAAGTTAGTTTTCTAGAAAATTTAAACGATTCCATCTATTTCCCAATAATTACATTTTTATTGCGTAACATACTAAACAAGCGGGTCTATTCACATACGTTACAGCAATTTTCTGCTTTTATTTCAAGTCGTTTGTGCAGTGCCATTTTGAAAAATTGGAATCGGTACGAGGGTCAGCGTGTCTTAACACGTACGATTATGTGTTTGATATAAACAAATAAACAAACCACTATCATTAAACCAAAATGGTTATGTATTTAATTTTTTCTTGAACTTCGCTCATAGCCTCTACTCCAGCGATATCTGCACTAATGCCCCTAGTTTTTAAATTGGAAGGCAGACAGTCAACACTACCCACCGCCGACTGAAAATGTGAGAATGTTCAGTGATGGGATGCGAACCCGCGATCAGCAGACTGTGAATCGGCTTCACTAACCACTAGATCGTACCTAAGCCAATTTTAATAATTAAAATAGATGATAAGATATTTATTGTAAACGGCTTCATGAAACATTATGCATGCAAAACAAACGATTATCTGCGGTCTCGCGCTATAGCTCAAAGCTATATTAGGGGTTATCTACATTCTGTTCACTGCGGGGAATCGGACACCAGATTCGAGCGTCGTAATTCCGTAAACTTGCCGCTGACCAACTGAGGGACCACTAGTGAGTAAAAAATTATATTTATAATTAAAATATTCTCATCCTATTTTGATTTCTTGCGAAAATGCAATAAAATGTGATATTCAATCCCGTTCATTAACAGTTAGACATCTAATTTTACACTTTATTTCAAAATATTTCTTTGCTAGGAAAAGTCCTCCTAAATATTGATAATCTTGTATCTAAATATTTTGCCACAGTAAATAAACGACATTTTGATTTTTTTAATACTCTTTAGAAGTATTAGTTCAATAAAACTACAGTAGGGGGGTAGTGGTGATTTGTTACTACTGAATTTAGTACTAGGAACAACTTCATCACTCGGTGGAGGGGGGGGGGTAATTTATTTGTTGGTGCTTTGTATCGAAACCCACTTTTTTGCATGAAACCTCTCAGACTTACTATTGATTTATCATGGGTAGTAGCGGTCAGGACATGCAAAAACTATTGAATATCATGAATTTTAGGTTTGAGCAGCTAGTAAGTGCTTAACATACAGTGGAAAAAGAGATATATCGTGTGTGTATATATACATATGTATATAACTATACGTATAGAGCTGGGAAAATACATAAATTGTTGGTGTAAAATTAAAACAGGTTTACCCAATAGATGACATTGGAATAACAATTAATGTATTGATGAAGATCTGGGTGATGAATGTTTAAAATTTAAGATAGGAATGATTATGAAATATATCGTTAGTTGAAGATTCAAGTTGCAACAGTTGAACAACCAAATGGAAATTGTCCCACGACGGACAACACGACCTCTAGCGGGGAGAAAGAGGATGCAGATTTTGATCCATGGGTTTTACCCGAGTTGAAGGACGATGGGGTCAAATGGTCAGGTATGTTAACTTTTCATGTCGTAAGAAGTATGATACATCTCGAATCTTTTAAAAAATGTTTCTAAAAATTCATAACAATCTTATCATATCTTAAAAAAACAGAAAAAAAAACTTTGAATTTTGTTTCATTGTAAAACTATTACAGTGTAAAAGATTAAGATATTATTATTTATTAGTGCAACGTCAAGTGTTCACCACCATTACAGAAACTTGCTAGGTAACTGCTTTTGGTGATAGATTAAAAACACGCACAAAACACTAGGAAACTTATGAAACGAGACTCGTCTATATTATCTATTTTTAATTAATAAAAGGTTTTACATTATGAAAACTTACAAATTCAGAAATTTCCAAGCTTCTCAGTGACATGATTAAGTACTTAGTGATTGCTGTCATGTATAAACATGTGTTAAAGCTGTTGAACTTTTGTCCTAAAACACCTAATGATGCAACTTTTTCGTGTGATTATTTCTTGAAATATGGCTTGGCATTTCATCTACGTTTCACTTATTGCATCACAAGCTCTTTGTATTTTAATTATTTGTTCCCGGAACTAACGTATGAAATAGTTATCTGCTCCACACCTTACATACACACATACAATCCTGTACAATAGAGTGTCGAATCGTGTGGATTTTGAGCAGACGTGGTCCGTGCCCCGAATCTTTCAAGCACCCAGCGACGCCTCTGAGTTTCAGTAAAACTACGAGCCAACACATGCATTTAGAAATTCCCCTCTGCGGGAGTACAGGTATGATATATCGACCTGCTTGTGCTGAACTTCCTGGAGAGACTCGAAACCTTTGTTACCAACCAAGCTTCACAAACTAACAACAAATCGGTGTGCTTTTCATAAAACAACTACTACATTGACTATGTAACGAAAGTATAAAAGCATATAAAGAACAATCCTCTTTCAGAATTATAAGATGAAAAAAAATATTAAATGATGTTTTTTATTTTGTAAAATAATGTTTAATAATATTCATTTTTTTAAAAAAGTAATACTAAATTTATACTATAAACCGTTGGCACTTGGTGAAACTCCATAATTACAAAATTGAGGAAAAATAAGACAATTGTACGTTTCACAACACACCATCTACTTACAACCATGGTTTCGCCAGTAAAGGCATCAGACTGAAATGTTTTATAACAGGTTTATACATGTTTAAACAAAGAACCGGAAGTGACCTAGAGGCAAGTGGGGAGGATCGTAAGTTTGTTTGGTCGTTTAAAACTTTTTCTGGATTTGTTTTTCGACATTATTTATTTCTAATATTTCCAGACTGTCTAGTTTTTATTTTTTTCACAGATATGTAAAATTTTGCAGTTTTTTCCTGGTCAAATTGGTGTTTTAGTTTCAATAAGGTAGGATACAAAGGTTATATTATTCTGTGTTGCTGTGATTGTGTGGCCTTCTATATACAATAATTTTCTAATAAAGATCGTGACCAATTACGATGAGTAATCTTTCACAAGTTTACTCGGTAGCTAGAAAATGTTCTTTAAAACAAATAATGCTAGTTCTATGTAGATGGTAACAATTTCGGTTCAGATGAACGAAATCAATCAGATTGGCCAGTTGTAAGGTAAATGTTTGTTTTAATTCGTAACTTTTTTTTGTCTTTCGAGCATAAAACTACACAGTGGGCTATCTGCGCATCGCGGAGAATCGAATACCAGATTTTAGCGATGTAAGTCCATAAACTTGCCGCTGACACACCAGTGGAAGTGTTTGAAGCATCAAAGAGTTCATACCTACACTCTTAATACAACAATGTCAAATTTTCTGGTATAAATTCGTGATAAAAATGACTCGGGTGTTTTGTTTTATCGTTCGATATTTATTGAGTGAGCTTTTAACTCCTTTCTGCTTGTTTCTATAATATTGTTCAATATTGTTGAAACAGTTATTACAGTTGTTTATAAATCTGCATATTGCACTGTATCTCACTACTGTTGTAAAGACGGATGGTATATTATTGTTTCTGTAAAGTTAAAGCTGTATAAATTTATTCTCTACATTGGTGGTCACCAATATGTTGCTCGCGGGCAACAGCTTGATTCGTGGCTCGTACTATGATAAGTAAAATTGTATTTTGAGAATTCCCAAACAAGCTCAGGCACGTTACTTGACTTCATAGTCACCATTTGGAGTGCACCAATGTGGGAAAATAGCTGTATAACTATTGCAATACATTGTTTTAAAACGTTTTTTTTTGTAAGGTTACACTATAAAAACGGCGCCAAACGAGTTGAAAGCCTGGTTCATAAATACTGAGCGTGAATATAAAAATGATTTATTATTTATCTTCATTGACAAATCTTTATTTTATTTTAAACTTTCATAATTTTCGGTAGGCCTGATTTTCTGGATTCTGGGGATCATTGTATCCCAGAATGTTCTAGACTTCCTGAGACATCTGGTTTCATGAACTGTTGCTACACCTTGTGCTTCACGACTTATGCTAGACTGTCAAACGGGTTTAAATAGCTGTTACTAGATTTACCGTCTTAACATTTTTTTTGGATTCTGTTGCAGATTTCACGAGCTAGATCATCTGTTTAGTATTTTTTTTGGTGTTTACACAACTTTTTGTTCACAATTTTATCAAAACTCTGACACATTAAGATTTTGATTGTTAATACACCTCCCATTCTCCTAGTATCCCGACAGTTAAACAACTATAACCACACGATACTAAGTTAGACCAAAAGTGTAAATGCGACCTTTTATATAACATACGATCGATAGCGTAGAAAAAAAGCTTGAGAGTCAGAAGGTGTAGTAAACGATTGGAAAATAACAGCTTACGGGGTAAGACGATAGCAACAAGTCACGAGATTTGATATGACAGGAAGTGTAGAAAAGTGGGAGCCAGAAGGTAGGTTGGTTAACTTTTGCTCATCAACAAACACTAAGTTTTATTGAAGTTAAAACCAAATTCTTAGAAGCATGAATTGTCTTTCTTTTTCAAGAACTGACTACTTGTCGGAAGATCTTACGAGTTACCTTGTCGATTTTAAAGATTGCAATTCTTCTACTTCTCTTGTACATATTCGTCTGTTCCCTGGATTTTCTCAGCTCGGCGTTTCGTCTGATTGGCGGGAAAGCCGCTGGAGGGGTGTTATCAAAAAACGAATTGCTCTCCAACCCAGTAGTGGGCCTGATGATTGGAGTTCTTGTTACAGTCTTGGTTCAGAGTTCGTCGACATCTACTTCTATCGTCATAACTATGGTTGGAGCTGAGTGTGAGTATTTGCTTTAAACTTAAGTTATTACAATGTGAATTTAAGCAGTATTGGTGTAGGTGACCTACATAACGTGTATACTTGTATAATCATGACTATTATCTTAAACTTCGTAAACAAAAACATTATAGTGACATGCTTTGTAATGAAATACTTTTCTATAACATAATTTCAAGTGTTTCTTATCATATTTTTGATAGTGATAATGTAACAATTTCCTATAGAACTATTGTCGAACTATCAGTGAAGTAGTTTGATTACATAACACGTAACAAAAACAATCGACATTACATTTTAAATTCCAATTAGCATAAAATCTTCTTGTCGTAAAATGTCTTGCAGAATGTTTTTTTCCTTATCTACAAATTATTACGACATTCCTGATCTGAAACCTCCCCTTCTATGAGTAAAACCATTTCGTTACACTTATAAATAGTTGTTTGTAACTTACTATTATATTAGCATAACGTGTTGGTATACACGACAATCAAGTGTTCGTTCAGACGTATTATGTATGAAACATCACTTTACAAACAACTTAAAATATTGATCTAACAGTAATGGTGGAACTTGTATTTTATGCAGTGGTACAGTAGTAATAGATGTAATGGCGTAGTTCAATATATACCAAAGCCGTTTCTTTTTCTTTATTTTTCAGTAATTTCTGTGAGGAACGCCATACCTATTGTAATGGGAGCCAACATTGGCACGTCTGTTACCAACACCATAGTGTCCTTGATGCAAGCGTCCGAAAGAAATGAATTCCGTAGGGCATTCGCCGCTGCTACTGTTCATGATATGTTCAACTGGTTGACTGTCATCGTCTTGCTTCCTATAGAGGAAGGGACAGGTTTAGTGACGTCTTTTAATTATCATAAAATATATTAATCGAATCTAATTCGCATTTGAGATGTACCTGTAGATACAAGAGCACCATATGATTGAAAAAACACGCGAGTACAGGGTGTTGCAGAAGTTCTGCACCACCATGATTTTTTTTTCAAAGTTTTGCCATTTCAGCTGTTAGAAATGTGCACCGTTGACATCACGACACAGTGTCACAATGAAGGTCATTTCCACCCTTTCTTGAAAACTTAATCATATCTTAAAAACTTGCTGCGACAAACGAATACGAGAAAATGAACGAAAAACGACTTAAGAACAACAGGATAGTGCTCGACTTTTGCGCCACCCTGTACATTCTTTGTAATCAGATAAAACTTTTCATCAAGGTTACAAAAGATGTGCAGACTGGAATGGAGTAGTCTTTCATCACTGGTACACATTATAGTATTATTACTGTAAATGTTTAAGTCTTTGGCTACTGGCTTCGAGTTGCTTGCCAATTTACTTCATGGTAGAGGGGAGTTTAAGTATAATTTATATTTTACTAAGTGCT